CCGAAAGCTCACACCTGGTAAGTCTCAGGTCTCTTGTGATATGTAGATTTGTTGACTGTTTTAGCACTGTTTCTTTCTTTTATGGCATCGTAGATGCTGTCCATTACAGAGTAGTAAAGGTGTGAAAACTACAAATTGATTTTGTTTATATGAAGTGCCATTGGCCTCATCAGATGTTGTTTCAAATATGTTAAATGAAGTGCAGCAGAGATTTGCTAGGGAAGGCTGTAAGATCCAAATAATTGAAGCTTTCCCTTTGTCTTTGCAGCTTTAACCGAATAGACATTCCTCCTTACGAAAGCTATGACAAGCTATATGAGAAGCTGCTAACTGCCATTGAAGAAACATGTGGGTTTGCTGTGGAATGACCCTTCACAGGCTTACCTGAGACTCTATTTATACTCCTGTCAGCCGGAATGCCCTTCCCTCATCAAGACTCGAGAAATGCTTGAAATACAGGAAACTTTCCCTTTTCTACACTAGGACACTGTGAGGGAAAGGACAACTTTGCAATTTTTTTCTTTCAAGAAAATAGGTTCTGTGGTTCCTGCCATAGGATCATTCAGCTGCTATTAAAAACTAATACCTTGAACATACAGAATGCTGACTTTTCCTACATTTCAACAGTTAAGCAGTATTCTATACTTAAAGACTACTACTATTTTTGTAAAAGGTAATCTATTATATTTGCCTACCTGATTTCTATTCTCAGATACCAAGAAACAACTTCAGCAGTCGGTACAAGTCACGTTTCAGCCTCTTTTAAATGTATGATACTGACCAGCATCTATACCTGCTATTTTTGGAAAAAATATTTTGGATTATTCTAACTTTTTGCATAAAATTGGCTGAAAGGATCATTAATCTTTTTAATTAAAGCCACTTACATGTTACTGCATTTTCTTATAGTAAAACATTATATTCTGCAATGTACATTCAACTAATGTTACCACAGGGAACTTTTTTTATATTTTTCAAGCATGAATTACGAATATGATGTTTTGGGGCCTATTTATATCACTCGTCAGATTCCTTAAACAAAATTTCTAGTGTGAGTGACACATACTGCCTTTGGTACAGTATTTGTGTTAAATGTGGAATAGACCTTTTTTAATGAAGAGCAGACGTTTTGATTTTTTTACGCAGCATTTTTCTAACGAGTCTGTCAAGAGTATTTTTTGTGACTTTTGACTTCAAACACTGCATTTTTCAACTTCGTGTGCATGTTGATGAGGTAATATTTGACAGCAGCAACCTGTTTGCAGTTCATTACAGAACCCATCCTACCCAGCCGACCAAAGCTTGTTTGAATGCAGCCAAATCACATAATATATTGTGGATGCTAAAGATCTATCAGGTAAAACATAATTTAATCTTTGTCTAGCTGCTCGTGACATGTGGGTTTGAGTTACAACTAAGGAAGAATGGCAGTAAAAGTAAAAATGTTGTATTAACTGAAATATGCGATGTGCTTCACAAATGAGGTTTTCAAAGCACATAATTTATTGATTGTAGGGATGGAAGTAAGTATATATATGAATTATAGCATGGGTTGATCTCTGCAAAGGGGAATAAAATGCACTACCAGTAGAGGGAACTGAATTTTGAAGTAAGTTTGGGAAGTCTCAGTGAAGATCCATATGATCTGTTCATGGTGTGTAGATGAATGGCTCCACTTAGCAGACAGTGGCATTCTCCTCTCAGTGAGAAGCTTTGGAATAGGCAGCATTTTTTTTTTTTCCAATCAGTGTTGTTTTTTAATGTAGGTTACAATCAATCATCAAGTCTGCACTATTTTTACACTGCCAATAAGAAGAAAGTCAAGGGTATTGGAAATGCTTAAACACCGGGATGTAAACAGCAGTGTGAGTCACACAGTGAACTGGCTCATTTTCTATTTGTTCCTTGGAGCTTGAACTTCATTTTGTTCTGCCAAATCTGACTGCCGCAGTGAGTAAACTACTACTGGATGTTGTGTATTAGAATAGTGGGCAATGGACTACTTTCTAGAATTGTGGTAAGAACCTGGTGAGCCAAATCCACATGTTCATTTGATTATATATATATTTTTGTACAGCTGTTGCTGGAAGGTTTGTTCTGAAAGACTTGCTTCCTTGTTCTGGGCTGGCTGCAGAGGTGAGGCTACTTAGGGATGTAAACATAAAGCCAAGAAACTTGCTGTAACAGCCAGGTTTGAAATATATCAGGCCATTCTTTCTTCATTTCAAGGGACTGTTGCACTCTTAAAATGGCTGGTACCTTTGTTATGTTAGGGAGCCCTTACTAGAGAAGCTACCACTGCATTTCTCCAGTTTTTCTGGGAAAGCAAAGTAGGATGTTGCCCACTGCATTTCTTATTTGTTACTGCTTCCTGAGGTTGGGGACCACTGCATTACGTAACTCCCAAAGTCCTCTTCTTGCTCCTTCAAGTTTGGAGGTCTGACATGAAGCTCTCCTGACACAGAATCAAAACATCATTGTTGAGTAAGGGATTTAATTCTGCTCTTGCTCAGGCTGTGGCTGCAGCTGCCCTGATCATGGAAGCATGCCAGATGTAAAATCCAGCTTGATCCAGCTTTTGGGAGAAGTCAGGGCTCAGCTGGTGACTCCAGGGGAAAGGTACGCTGTTCTCTTTTCCCCAGGCAGTCAACCTCAGCACTATTTAAAGACTGTTTCTGTAGTGTCTCCTGACCACAGCGTCTGTATCCTCCTAGGAACCTCTCCCTGCCCACCTCCTTAGGCTGGTTCACGTATTGAACACCTGGTTGTGGCCACCCTTAAACATAAAAGCATTTCTGAGGAGGGAGGAAATGAGCTCTGCAGAATTTAGAGAGTAGATCAGCTGATAAATACCATTCATTTTCACAGCAGCCTTAGCAGTGCATCTGTTTGTTCTACCAACCATTTTGATATGGCATAGAGAATTTTTTTTTAAATTGTCACAGATAAATATTGTAAATTTAATATATTATAAGCAAAACTAGATAAATTTACATCTGACTTTCCACAGCTGACAGATGAGGTTGAATATACCAAGTATTTTGAGTGCCTTTCTACCTTTATAATGACCGAGAGCTTTAACTAAAGCACCTCATCACCTACTCACGTTTATCAGAAACCTTTAAGAGTTGATGCCTTTGCAAAATTGTATTTCGAGATCATGTCAGCTACTTTTCCCCTCAAAAAGGTGCTAAGCCTAATATTGCATTTTAACCTTGGACTTTCACCCCATGATTAATGTGAATATTTATTTCAATGTGTCCCTCTTACTGGGTTTTACTTTATCCAGTCTTTAGTTGTTTTAGAGAAATGTCACATCATGGTTTTATGCTGTTGCTTTTCATATGAATGTTTAATTATGAACAGAACTTTTGTAGATTTCAAATATACAGTACACAGTTGAATTTCAGAGGATTTAATTTCTCGGTGTAAAGAGTTTTGTAATGGTGCTTTGTACAGTATGTATTCTAATTTTTTTGCACATAGTTTCAGTTTCCCTAAACTGATTTATTTTTACCAAATTGTTGTGTTGTACTAAAGTCCAGAGCACACAAGCTGTTTTTAAATTCTTGTCCTACAACACTACATCTGTATAGAACTTCTGGTGCGTTTAAACTAGCTGCATTGATGGAAGTAAAAGCTTTGCTTCTATATCATAAGAATGCATCATACAGCTTAATGTAGCATGCTCCAAGTGCTTCAGATTTTAAACTGCACCATATAGTTACCAGGTGCCATTTGTTGTATTTTACACTATGTAGTAGTTTTCTGGCTCTACCACATCCTCAGAGCTTCGTCTGTAGCTGTAATTAGTTTATACAAGTGTAATTACTCCTCCACAACCTGACAGTTCTTAGTTTATCATTTCCATTGTATTTATTACAGAGTGTTTTAGCATTGATATCATTGTATTTTCACCCAGCTGTTACATGAGCTTTAACAAAAAAATCTGTATAAAATGGTTTTTAAGTACTTAATGTATGTACCCATGCAGAAGTTGAGCAATAAATTGTATGCTGTTTGCACTGTCACAGCATCAATGGTTTAAAAAGTTTTCAGTTTTTCTTAATTGTTTACTTTAAAATGTAACAAATAGCATTAAGTAATCTGACCTTGTTTCAGGGGAAAGTGCTTACACACTCAAAGAGTCTTTCTACAGACTGCTACCTAAAAATAAGGGTTGTGCTAATTGTCTTAATTGAACAACAGAGGTCTTACTTTTGGCTTTTATGTTAATTGTTTCCTGGAAAGGGGTTCATATCTGTTACTGAATGGATGTCTCCTCTCTAATTTCAGCAAAAATTGAACTGCTTTCCTTATGAGAAGAAAAAAGTAAATAAGTTTTATAAATACATGTTAAAATTCTAACATCATTTCAGCTTTGCTACACAGTAGAAAGTAGTTTAAAACTTTATTAATCATAAAAGTGCTCAAAGTTCCAGGTACCAACAACTACGCCTCTGGCACATCGAGATGACAGATCTGATCTTACAGAACAGCTACACCCCACCTTCCTGTCACAGCAGTTCTCAGAGACTCCCGCCAGCTCAGCCAGTCAGCTGCAGTGCTATTTACCATGTCTTAAGAGAAACCACTTTTGTTGTACTGAAAGGAAGCCATCTGAAGTCTAGATCTGAGTCTGTCTGCCTCTAGTTCTTGAAAAAAAGTTTCATCATCATTTTGCATTATTGCTGTTTGCAGTTGTTGTATTTCTTTTTCCATCCTTGACCTCAGTTCTCTTTTTGTTTTCTGCAGCATCTAAACAGAACACAGGTATTAGCATATTGCATTAAGAAAGAAAACATCTATACAAAATCAAAAATCCTTACTTGTGCTTGTGCTTTCTCTCTGGTTTGGATTTCTTGGCGTTCTTGAGATAAAGCTTCTGCTAGCATGGAGAACTAAGCACAATACATGTTTGAGTTGAACCAGTTAAAGAAATGAAAGGCTTCTATTATTAAAAACATTAACTGGCTATTTTAGCTGCAGATTAAACTTACCTGATCTCTGTAGTAGTTCTCCATGGACTCCAGCTCATTTTGATGCTCTCTTCTTTGCTCAGCACGCCTCTCTTGAGCATATGCTCTCAGGTCCTTCAGTCTTTGCTTCTGAATTTCTAAGCCTTCTTCAAATAAGTTTTTAAATATCTGCCAACAATTAAAAAAGCAAACAACATTTTCCTAGAAACTTAAAAAATGTTTGTTGTTTTTGGGAGTACTAAGCCTTTTTGAATATAAGGCTTAGACCAACCAGTTTAATTTGAGTATGTTGCTTTGTAAGTATAGGTTAACATATTTCAGATGCTTTATCTCCTGATGAAAGGGCAGTCACAAAAAAGGGTCACTGCTCTTGAAAAAGTACAGTTATACATCTAGTACCAGTGGTACAGACACAGCTGAGCTACCTTTGTAATATTCATTTAGCTGGAATTCTTACAAAAAGTACGTTTTTCAGATTTGTTAAGTCAGGATGAATAAGAGTGGCTAGAACAGCAAGGATATACTGATCAAGGCTTCTTTTTCCTATATGAACTAAACTCTGAATGTGTGGAGCTGCAGCCCACAGCACTCTGTCTAATTCAGGATGTTCACCCAGATTTCCAATAACAGGAAATCCAGCCTGCACTCACACTTCCCATTCATACAAAAGAACACTGCTGCACAGCTTCCGACACAAACAGCGCTCAGGTCAGTAACAGTGAATTAATACACACAACTTCCTAGACTTTAAAAGGTGAGAACTGTGCAGCTACTCTTGTAAAATAAAATAGCACTGTTGGCTTAACTTAGCTGTGATGTGCAGCCCTCAATAGAATTCATCTGTCAAGAAGTCCACTTTATTTAACAAAGATGAGTGAAAACAGGGTTTTTTTTGTCAGTTTCCATAACTGAAAATTCAGGTTATTTTCTTTGGATAGTAGCTCTAGGAACAACCTTTTAATTCTCCTGTTTCTGAAAACTTGCTTCCTCAGTTTGTCTTGATGTTAGCCTTGTTTTTTCATGCTGATGGTGAGCCTTTTTCTCCTTTCCTTAACACTATCAAGCATCCTTCCTGTTTTACAGTGGCCTGCCTTCAACTCTCTCAGTATTTCCAAAGAAGGAACCTTTTCATCACAGCTTTGACTGCCCAGCCACTTAATCCTGGCTCCTTCATTCTGTTCACTTAAGTTGCCTCTGTCTACTTCTACCATTATTTGTACTACGATACTTCAGGTCCTTAGTAATCGCATCCAAACAGTACAGAAGAATTCCACGCTTGCAAAGCAAAACATCTTGGGCTTACCCTTTCTTCCCTTGTCCTAGCCCGCATCATCTTGGCACGCAGCTGGACACGGTAATCTTCATAGTATTTCCTGGCTCTAACAACTTGCTGGCGTTTCTCTCTCACCTTACTCTGAGTCCATTTCTGGCGGTAGATACGTTGCTTTAATTCTTGCTAAATGGAAAAAAAGTTGCTGTAAGACCGCCATTCTCTCAGTAGATTTGCTGCAAGCCAAGTTTTGTTGATCATTTCTAATAGGGTCCTTAACTATGAAACTCCTTATTCCAATTTCAAAGCTTTAAGTTATAAATGCAGTGTAATCACTGCTGACTTAGCACAGTGTTGCCATCAACAGTGCTATATAATTAAGGAGTCAGCATTGCCACAGTTGCTGGTGTTTTTAACATTAAAACCAGCAGCATGAAGTTTCTCTTCCTCGTGTGTTCTCAGCTTGTTTGTATTTTAAAGCAGCAGCTAAGTGAAGTAGCAGTATTTCATCCCAAATGGCCACACTGCAAAGAGCTTACATGGCATTTGAGGCCACAGTTACTCAAAAGGCATGAAGTTGTCATAAAATAAGAAGCTCCTTTCATGAACAGGGAGAATTCTATGTAACAAATACCCTTCAAAGAACATACCAGTCTCTTGTTATGGTCTCGATCTTTTTTAATAATTGCAACAAGAAGCTCATGCTTCTTCAGGGCTTGTTGAACCTGGAAAAGAAAAAAAAAAAAGTTACTTCTGTCATTCTGCAGGACAGGCATTTGTATGTAGGAGTTGTCCCAGAAATACTACCTTTTTACTATGCTGTTTATATTGAGAGTTAATGTGCATAAGGTAATCACTGTAGTAAACACTACTAATGATGCTGATAATGCAGTTCTTACAAATATGACATAAGTTCTGTTAAGTAGAAATGCAAGTGTAAATAAGCAGTATCCATGCTCTATCTCACAGTTGAGACATACAGTGTGAAAGGATGTGTTCAGGATGTTCGTGTCCTTATCCATGGTGCATAGTCAGCATGATTTTACTATGAAATACAAACTGATGAATGCTGCCCTTCTGTCAGCTGATGCTTAAAAGGTAAGAATGTGAACACTCACTTCATTTTGGAGTTTGAGTCTAGCCCTGCCAGAAGCTGCTTTAAGCTGTTCAGTCTGTGCGAGCTGCTGCCGCCACATTTTGTTCATAGTGTGCTGGGAAATATGCAGGTGGGGAAACTCTTCCAGTAGCTTAACCAGGAGGTCATCATCCCTGACTTTCACTACAAGGTAAAGAAAGATGTAAGCAATAAACTCCTGGAAACTACATTTAATGCTGAATTCTTCCAGACAGTATCAGCCTAAGTTAGGAAGTCATTCAGATAGAACAGTGTATCAACTACCATGCTGTTATTATGATGTCAAGCTCAACTCAGCAGCACACAGGATCTCTCTCAATGCAACAGCTGAGAAACTAATCCCAAGTAAGTGACTTTTTTTTCTTTTCTGCTGAAGAACAGCTTTTATAGCTCAGGCCTCATTTCTCCCCCTTTACCACGTTTAATCCTATTTAGGGAGGCAACCCCTTCTTCAGATGGTTCAGATTGTCACTAATAAGTCACAACTTTCTTTGTATGTTTCATTGGCTCCTGCAACTTAAAATAATGCTAATACAGCGGTAGCAGTGGCAGATACAGGTCAAATAAATAGGTGGAAAACAAAGAAGTGGAAAACAAACCGGTTTGCAACCTGCACATTCTCGTTACATCTTTGATTATGGTGGCATGAAATAAACTGAACTACAGGCAGATGAAACAAGTGAGTATTAAGCAAGTAAATGCACTTCAAACACTTATCAAAAAGAAACGAAAAAATCCCAAGTGTCCCTGACCAACATTCAGGCACGTTAGGAGATTGTACCATGGCCTTACATAAAAACATATATAATGATGTTTGGCAGAACTGAGTGTGTGATTTGTGTTCACTGTTCTTGGAACATCTCTGACTCAGCAAAACCCATGGCATAATTACTGTTACAACAGCAGGGTCTTTTCCTACCAAACGTTCTGCTCATCCACCTGCATATGGTTTAGCACCATCCCACTAAAGCTAGAGGGCCAGTTTTAAATTATACATGTTCAGGAAAAGAAAAAAGTGGGAAGAAAGACTCAGCTCAGAGTATAGTGGAGAAAACACAGGAGTAGCAGGAATGGAAACAAGCTTTGAAAACAATCCAGGAGAGTTTAAGGAGGTAGGAAGTGGGCCCGAGTTTTGAACTGTGCATGGGTGGTTCACATTTACTTAGAGCATTATCTTCTGTAACAAAAATCCAGACGTATGGAGGTCATGAGAAGGGGAAAATGCTACAGCTGACTGGTATATATTGGACCAATGCCTTTATGCTTGGAGTTCCAACACATGCTTTCAAAGGATGCCAGTTTTCCACCAAGTATAGTTTTGCGTTTCTTACTTGGAGCTGCTTTCTTTGGCTTCACAGTCCCTCGTTTTGGAATCCACTGGCTGTATCTGGGATTCCAAGGTGTGGTTTTTCTAGAATAAACTCTCACTGGCTGAGGGATTTTTGGAGATTCTTTAAAGATGTTTTCCTTGTATTCTTGTTCCTTTGGAGCAGATGTAAAACAGATGGAGAACAGGTATGAGAAGGGCAGGACTGATAGATTGCATAGTTTGGATATCAGAACTTAAATGGCATTAAAAATTGTAGAATGAGAAATTGGAGATACTGAATTGAATTCTTGAGAAGTTGAAAATTTACCAAATGCAGTCCATGGTTCAAATAAAGGTTACATCTCTCTGTTGCATAACCTTAGCTCTTTTGCAGCACTTAACAGTACTGCAGCAGCCTGATCACTGCTTCTGCAGAAGCTGTGAAAACAGCCAGTGCATCTCACAGCAGAATGACACAGCTTTCAACCTGAGTTCCTTAGTGGTCCAGTACTATGTAAGAAAGTAGCAGTACTAGAAAGTATGTAAGAACCCTTCTGCCAGATTCATAATAGTAGAAAATCATCCTTGCACAAAAAAATGACTTCTAGAGTAGTTGGAAAAAAACATAAATATGACAACATAAAGCAAATTATATACACTGTGTAGGGCATCCAGCTCTCAGCCTGGGGAATGGGGGAGGCAAGTAGGAAGTAGCTGAGAGAGCCTGCAGCTAGTCAGACTTGTTCTTAGAAAGATAACTAGCAACATGAGAGGTTCAGACCAGTCTACAGAAGCTGTCTTCTGACTTAGCATTTGTTATTTAAATCACAGTCTCTTGAAATCACATCATGTAAACAGTGTGATGGTTATTCTGCTGCTGCTAATATTACCTACAAGAGCTGACAACTTTAGATAAAACCAAGGGACAATTATTTTTGTCTCTGGAAAAGCTGTCTCCCTGTTCACTATTTCAGTATACAGCTCTTCTGTAACTACAACACTAAGAGTCAAGGTGTTTTTGTACCCAGAATACGTGCATAGTGCCTGGATAGAGTATTGAGACAAATTTTAAAATAACTAGCAAAATTATGCTTTACATACCAGTTCCTTGACCTCTTCTCTGAGTTTGGAAAGTCTAAGCCTCTCCCGAGCTTCATAAATTCTTAGTTCATTTTCATAAGCTTTAGCAACCATCTATAAAGCAAAAATAAGAACTTGCAAAGAAAATAACCAGTCCAGACGGATAGATGCCTCATTAACTTTTTCAGAATATGGGTTAAAATTGTTCCTTCCACTTAAAACTTTTCTTCTGCAGTATTTGGAGTCTACATCTTTTTTGTGTGTGTATTTGGAGTCTACAAAAACAGTGCAAAATCATAAAACTGGGCCAAATGCCTCCAGTAAATAAGGACATTTAGTTCCAATACTCTCTTAGCATAACTGTACTAAGAATGACTAACAGGTCTAATCCTGAAGTTACCTTTGCTTCTTGTTTTCTTTCATCCTTTTCTTTTTGCAACTTGTTGCGTATTTTTTTCATTTGGCCTTTTCCATTACTGCAAGGTATGTTTTCTGACTCAAAAAAAAGTTGATGCTGAGATGAGGGTGATAATGGAGAAAGGGATCGTGTCCTGTTTGGGTACTTCAGGTGTGGTATGTCTGTAAGGAGAGGTGTTTCAATAACTACCCAGCTTCAAGCAAAAAAAAAAAAATGCTCCAGCCAAGTTAAAAACCATCCACAGCAAAATTGAAATATTTAGCACAAATAAAATGACAGAAAGCCAAAGCCTTTCTTTTTGTTTTATCCCTGCTCTGAATCCAATGTGTGGGGACTTCTATGATAGCAGAAGTGCTAAGAGATATTTAAGATGGGAAAGGATAAAGCAGCAAAACCATTTAAAGTTAACAACAGAGACTGTTTTACAAGATTCATAAACAGCTCTGTCTTGCAATATAAGAGTCCATGTGGATTAGATCAGGTTATATGGTAGTTTTATATCTAAGTGTTCATGTGGGGTCGTTATAAAATCAAATTGGCACTGACACAGAGCACAGAACTTAGTAAAGCTGTGTATAGGTCAGTGCATCAGCTTTACAGAAGGATTTTTTTTCCCATTCTAAAACTTATATGTCCTAAGAATCATTACTTGGTGATTCTGTGATTACCTCGCTCAGCTTTCCTTCGGCGGTAATCCATGACACTGTCACTGTGCTGAGACAGGTTGTCTTCATCTGTCACCTCTTCCCTGGTACGTCCACCCAAAGCTCTCTTTAACATCTGTTGGACAGGTTTTTGGGAAGGGGGTCAGGTTCAATTGTTCATTCAAATTTAGAAGTGCCATATTCACTGTTAATTGCAGATTTCTTTTTCATTAACATTAGATTTATATTATTGTTTCCCGCTGTTATTTCTAAGGCTAGCTTGTCTGGATACAACAAAGATTTTACTTACTGAATCTAGTTCATTTAACCTGCGAGAAAGTTTTTGTGATACTTGATGCAGCTCTTGCTTAGACAGGTTTTCCTTTGTTGTTCTGTGGGAAAGAGGATCTTCAAGTGAATCTATGGTAGAATTTTCATATCTGAAAAAAAAACAAAAACAACTAGATTTCATTTCTATTCTAAAAACTTAGAGATAAATATTACCTCATACAATTCCAGCTCACTTTTTGCATAACTGCATTCTTATAGGATGAAGTAAAGCTCATTGTGTAAGGGCCTACAACTGTATTTAAGAAAATGCACACATGATGGAAGTAGGAAAGGCTTCTGCTGAAGTTACGCAGTCATACAGCTGAGGAAGATGCCTCATTTAAAAAAAAAAAAAGCTGGAGACAGGAGGGATTGTACAGGAAAATGGCTCAGCTCCAAGAAAACTGAACTTGCCTCTTCTTTCTAGGTAGATGTCTTGATTCAGGGCTTGGATGTTGTGTTATTTGTTCAGTGTGTAAGGAGAATTTTTGATCTAAGTGTGAAGCAGATGTCGAAGTCTCATATACCCAAGGAACCTTGAAAAATGATTAAGAGCAAAAATTAAGGTTTACACAGTAATGCTCAGAAAGACCACAGATTATAGTAGGAGAGATCTACAACAGCATTTATAGAAGAACCATCTCAAACCATATGATCACACTCATACAGTAGATGTTTAAAGAAATAAGCTAGCAAAAATATAGATCAGTTTAAGAATCATCTACAGTTAAGCCACCAAATCAGAATAACAAATTCTACATATCAGAGTCCCTATATACTGCCTCACTAGCCTGGGGGACTAGTGCCAAGTAATGCACTAAGCAAGCTGAACTTAGTACTGAGCATGGACTAAGCAGCAATTCAAAGCAAACATACTAAAATAAATCACTTCTGTCCTTATGCCAGTGCTTTAGTGTTGGTTGGTAGTTTATCTATTCAAACCAGAGTAATTCAGGGTTAGCATGCATACACATGCAAATGTACCAATTGAAAATGAGTTTTAAAGAAAGACAGTGCTTTAAGCAGACATGTCTGTGAGTACCTCTTGTGGCTGCAGAAGGCAAAAAAAAAAAAAAAAAAAGTGTTTTCCAGTATAGTCACAGAATGGCATCTGCTGAACAGTTTGTAGGTTTTGAAAAGCAAAGGACAATGGAAGAAAATAAAATGCAAATATACAATCAGGCAATTCAGCTATCTTTAGGAAAGGAGGAACATTTTAGTTTTATTGACATCAAAACAACCTCATAAAACCAAATTCTTACTAATTTAGAATACTGATACACAAGGAAGTGAATGTCCTCTCTGAATAAGACAAAGAGAACTAGTAACTACTTGTGATTAATCAGAACTCTGTGTGTACTGGTGCTTATACTTCCTGGAAGAACTGATGTGACTTGTCACACTGAATCACAGAATGGCCAGGGTTGGAAGGGACCTCAAGGATCATGAATCTCCAACCCCCCTGCTACATGCAGGGCCACCAACCTCCCCATTTAATAGCAGCCCAGGCTGCCCAGGGCCCCATCCAACCTGGCTTTGAACACCTCCAGGGACGGGGCATCCACAGCCTCTTTGGGCAGCTGTTCCAGCACCTCACCATTCGCTCTGTAAAGAATTTCCCCCTGACATCCAACCTAAATCTCCCCTCCCTCAACTTAAAACCATTTCCCCTTGTCAACTGCATGCAGCCCTTGTCTAACAACGCTGTGTTACTAAGTGTACTCCTGCACTGAAGTGAAAAGCCCAAAAACCCAGAGGTGCCACAAAATAACAAGAAAAGTAATTGGAAATCCAACAGCGCTGACTGAGCTTCCACAAAGATGGTGAAGTTGCAACATTTACCTTCACACTGTCCTCAGCATAATTCGAGACCATCTTGTCTGCTGCTGCAGAAGCAGATGACAGGTTAGTGTTAGTCACTCATGTAGACTGCAATGTGCCTATTATTGTAGGAATAGCTACAAAAAAAAAATCTGTGGCCTTTTGAACTTAATCATCCAAAGAGAACATAATGACAAGGGAGCTGTGTTTACACAGTTATAACATTCATTTCATGGATTTTTCAGGTTTTACATTTTCAGTGTCATAGGAATGCTATGGAAACTAGAAAGGTAATAAGTGTCTCCCAGGCAACAGAGAAAATAAGCATGAAGACTACTTTCTAAACCTTTTCTACAATAGCAATTAAGAACCTTTTCCTCAATCTGAAAATGGTGTGTTTGGGCCACATCCCCCTGCTCAGAATAAGCTCATCCAGAGAAGTGATTTCTGTAGTACAAGCACATCTGAACTGGATTAAGTAAGAAAGGAGTTGAACTGGGGATAGGCTATTTTCTCAAGCACAGTGAACAGCTTGGAAGTAACCTATTTATATACAAAAAACAAAAAAAAAACACCAAGAGCATTTTAAATAGATGCACTGGTAGTTTTAAAACCATGTTTCCTGTACTACATATAAGATTAAGACAACATTTGACACATGGAGTTGTTCTGTAGGAAGCAAAATTCTCTCTCACCAGGGATCTTTCTTGACAGAAGAGCCCCAGAAACATCTTCAGATTTTTGTGTAAGTGACATTTCAAGCTGGAAGAAAACACAAGAAAAATGAGACAGAAAGGTAATACATTAAGTTTACCTGTGTATGGCAATCAGTGCTGATTTTATTGCTAGCTGTACAAGAACACAACCACGATTATACTGTCAACTGTACTGCAAACTGTGCAGGAATGTTGATAATGTGCATAATATGCGTCTCCATGTGTGCAATATAAACACCCCTCTCAATTAGATGGTTTTAAAGTGAAAGGAGTATTGATTAATAAAAAACAAAGGATGGGTTCTTACTTACAGTAGGAGATTCCAGTTCTTGACTGTTAACCAAAGCTGCTGACTGGCTGTTCAAGCTCTGGTGATCTCTCTGTACAGGATCACAGGACCTGGCTTCAGCAGGCTGAAATGGCGGCAGCAAAGGAACAGCCTGGCATATTGGCTCCCTGAGTCCTTGAGCACTGGAACTGAAATGCTCTTTTGGCAGTTCAGTGCTGTGAATGGACTCCAAGGATCCTTAAGAGACCAATATAAAGAACTTGAAATTAAAAGTGTTATCTATAGAAGTGGCATTTTATTTCTGTATATCATCCATGCATATTAGAGGGAAGATTAAGTATCCAATGTTAATTACCATATTTGTTTGATTGCACAGAACTGTTAAATTTTAAAGGTAGGCTACCTTGAGCCTACATATCAGTTGTTTTAATAAATCTGTATTTCTGTATATGCATAGGTATGACTTAACAGCACAGATACTTAAATTTGAGAGGAGTTTCAAAAGAAGCAGAATTTGAATTTCATTACTTATTTACTTTTGTTCATTGACACATTTAAAGTGCTGAACTGTTTTGGTATCAGCAAAACAGATAACAATTTTGCTATCTGTAGAAATGCTACTACAGATTAGTCTTAAAAATATATATTTATCCAAGCTCACCTTCCCCTCTCTCTGAGAACAAATGAGCAGTATCTCCAAGTCGAATTAATTCACTGGTAGATTCCGAACCATCTACATCACACAGTGGGACAAAGCATTCTGACTGGGACCTAAGAGGAATATGAAATGATAAAATATTTACTCTAAAAGTCTTTGCCTCTTCAGTCCACAAGGTGGAGATGCAGAAGAGTCCCAGCTCTACTTCAGTCAGCTGGCAACTGCAGTGCAGAACATAGGAAGCCAGCTTCCACAAAACAAACCAATGTAGAAGTCAGGAAGATGGATCTACTGCTATTCAACCAAAATGCAATCATTTAAAAGCGGGACAAAGTTCTTAATGAATTTTGTTTCACAGGGAAAATAAGCTTAAGGGAAATAACGGCATCAGAATTCTTCAAAGCAAAAAGAGATCTAGAGATGTTTTTCTGCCCAGATAGAGGAGAGAGTTAGCTCGTGTTCCATTTGAGGGATGTACCAAGTATGTTTCCTCCCTGCATATTACTGAGAATTAGCTGTTCTACAGATGTGCAAAAGTAACAGTAACTTACTGTGCCAGTGCATGTATTCAAAGTTATTCTTACCTGTCAACTGATGAAAGTTTCAAAGGTGGTATAAGTTGACCAGCATTGCTTTCCAGCTGATCTGGAGATACAATTTGAATGTTGCTATTGGGCAGTACAGTCTCATCTGTTAATAATGAAGAGGCATTAATTTTCAGGAAAAAATATATAAGTAAAGGTTTTATCTTCATTACTATCAAAATAGTTTAAGGGTTTTAATATATATATAACATTATAAATGCTTTTAAAAGAAGCATTTTTATATTATTTTATATATTAAATTATAAGGATTATATTTAAAATTATATTTAAAATATATTAAATTATAAAGATTATATTTAAAATTATAGAATGGCATGGATTGGAGAATCCATAATAATGTATCATCAGAACACAATACCTTAAACATGGAAATCTGTCTTCTCACCTCCATTTTGAGAAGAGGATTCACTGGCTTCTTCTGTAAGATATTCCAACAAACCATCAAATATTTCAAGGAGGTTTCTGATAGATTCCTTTTCTCCTTTCACAATGTTCTCACCTTAAGAGAAGGTATGGTCATATCAATAATTACTAATTTATTATTTGTTAATAATTAGTTTGAAAGTCTTCAAAGAATAGGAGTTTTCTGAATATGACTGGAAATCCTTGTGGAGGTGTCAGCTCAGAGCACAGCTGGTCACTCATGTACAGCTGCACCCCTATATTTAATATATCTTAAAAGCTTCCTAAAGTTGCATATTTGCAGTTTAATAACTGAAAGCTTACAGATGCTGTATCTAATTCCACTACACACATATATAAACATTACATATATATTTATATAATATTCAGGGCATATGGTTCTTATGAAGTGTTCAAATTAAACCAAATGTATATAGTGCTTGTGCACATTACGACCACTTACCAGTGATGTGTGACAAGCTGACCTGCAGGTAGTCCAATGCCAGAGAATCTATTACAGCTTGTACATTATGTGCATCGTCCTCTTGGCTTCTAGGAGTAGCTATGAAATCTATTTAAAACAAATATGTACATTGTATGCTATCTGAATTGACAGTTTATTGCTGTTGTTTACTTGAACTACTTTTAGTTTAAAAATACTAATTTGTAAGTAGCAAATGACTTGGTGATTATATGGTTGTATGAAACCTTTAATGAAAAATAAGCCTAAACATAGGCTTATATCCCCTAGAAGATGTGGGGGTCCTATCAGCTGAAGTACTGAATCCAAGAACACCGACTATTTAAACAGTTTTCATCCTTCACTCCCAGCACAAACAATACCCAGTTGCAAAATTTGCAGACTTGAACTTGTCCATTGTAAAATATGCAGAGGCACACAAAAGCATCCTTAGGAATTAAGGTTCCCACCTGGTACCTTTTCTCCTAAGATCGATTCATAAAGGCAAACAAATACATCAGCTCCGCACTCTGAGAGACGCTTTACGTGCTGGTTGACGTGACAGCTCCTTAAAAGATCATTGGCAACTTCGACCCAATCTATAAGGAAGTAGAGTATATTAACAACAGAACTGAGAGACACAGAGGTGCACACATGGATGGTTACAGTGAGAGATGGAACCACTTCGGGTGCCTTTGCTATGAGGGCTCAGTGCTTGGTGCGATCAGGGCAGCAATGCTCTGCACCCTGTGGGATTTCCTTCGGAGAGAAACGTGAGCAGAGTGAGGAGCACAGGCAGCATCAGCCAAAGCACGGCTGAGAGCTGACAGTCCTTCACAGAAACGGCAGTGAGCGTTACCATGGACTACAGCTGGAAGAGTGATGACATCGTTTGAAGGAAGAAAAGGGAAGAAAGAGGGCTGTGTGGTTCCTACACACGGCCTCCTGGGTACTGCTTTTGCTTTTCTGTACACGGGGAGAAACGCTTTTCCGTTCCTCCTCTTCGTTCAGTTCCACAGACCGCTTTAATGGCCGTAGCTGCGATGCGGGGTGGAGCAGCACCTCCTCCAGCTCAGCCTCGAAACCAGCGCCTCCAGACTGAAAAGCGCGGCTGGGGAAAAGGGAGGGCGCATAAAAAGCTTAAGGATCCACAACACAAAGAGGAGAGCAGGAACCTTGAAGCAACACCACGTCTGCGTAAAACGGAAGGCGTCAGCTCCACCGCGAGGCCCCACAGGGCAGCGGAGACGGGCGGAACCCTCGGAGCCGCAGCCCGCGCCTACCTGTGCCCTCAGCGCTGCCCATGGCGCAGCCCGCCGCCAACAGCCGCCCTCAGCTCTAACGGCCGCGCGGCGCTGCGGGGCTGCGCCGGAAGGGGCGGGGCCTGGAGGCGCTTTCCCGCCCCCCGCCGCGTTCTGCTCGCGGCCGCGGTGCTGTGGCGCGCGTTGGCGCGGGGCCGGTCGTCATGGAAACGGGGGTGGGGAGAGTTTGTGCCTCAGGGCCGGGCCTCGTTTCCCGACGCGAGCCGCGCGCTTTTGTCCCGTGACGGGCCCGGCTCAGCGGCGCGGTACGGCCCGGGCCTCCCCTCCTGCCTTTCCTCGCCTTCCGGGCAGAGCTCGGGCCGCGAAATGGCGGCGCGGTCCCTCAGGGTGGCCCCGCTCCAAGCAGTGCGGGCGCTGCTGCTGCGGTTCTGCCCTCATCGCCCCGAAGGGGAGGCGGTCGTTTTGTGTTTTCACGAAGAAAATCAGGAGGGGAGAGGGCTGGCTCTGACGGCAGGCTCTGACGACAGGCCTGTGCCGTTCACCAGCAGGGAGAGCTGGGCGTACAGCGAGGTGTTGTTGTGGGGGGAGTTGGCTGTAAGCAGGCGGGTGACGTGGCTTGTTAGGGAGCTGCGAAACGACGAGATAATTTCCAAGGGCAATGAGGTTGGAAGGTGTATTAGGTGTGAGATTTAGAATTTTTGCTTAGTGAAGCCTTGTGTGCTGCTAGCTGGTAGCGTGCAGTTTCTTTAAGACGTTGGCTGGGGTGGGTGTGTAACCCTCCTCTCAAAGCAGCAGCATCCTGTGCTGCCCAGGAACACCGGGATTTCCTGGCAGTAAGTCATGCAGAAGCAGAACTAATGGTGCCTCTCATCCTTCAGCTCCTGCAGCGTGACAGAGGCAGCTGAGATCCTAATTATGACTAAAAATAATGGCTGCCAGCAAGTAAACATCAGTGACAATGACAGCTGTAACGGTCTGAGGACTGATTTTTAGAAATGTATAATCAAATGCATATTTCGTTTAAAAGAACTTTCACATGTGTGAGCAAATGCTCACCAGCACTTCTGAAATCAGCACTAAAGCATGGTTTTCAGTTCGATATACACAGCTTTGCCAAGCTCTTTTGATTTGCTTTGCATGTGTTGGCTTAAAGTAAGAGAACAGGAAAATCAACAATGATGTTTAACTTAAAGGGGTGGAACACAGAAATGAGGAAGTTTTCTTTCAGAGAGGAAATTAACAGGAGCGAGGTGCAGGCTAAGTGCACACAGACAGACCTGATCAGAGGCCCAGGTTTTTTTTTTTCTTTGGTCCCTTCAGTTCTTCAAAACCTTAACAAGGTTGAACAACACAGTGATGGAAGAGATAAAGTTATAAATAAACCAAAAAGATTTGAGTGAACTGTGTTAAGCTGCATGGAATAAGAAAAGGTCTGATAATTTGCTGCTAACTTTTGAAGCCTTTACACAGCCTATTGTCAGATTCATCAGGAGGGTCAGTAAGTGTAAAGTTAAAAGGAGTATTTGGGGGGGGAACTCCATAGCTTGCTTCTTTGCGTCAGTGACTCCTATTGAAAAAAAAAAAACACCAAGTAGGATCCACTGTCTGAAAAATCATTAGGAAATAATATGTGCCAAATCAAAACTATCTTTATGCTTCCAGTTTGTAAATCACATAGATTTGGGGGCCCAGATCTCAAATATTGTGTACTGTCAATGTGGTGGCAAGGATTGTTACAATTGCTTTTAAAGGAGAAAAAATGAGATAGACTGCAGCTTTGGCTGATAAGTGAGGTGATTCAGATGATGGTAATACAGACAAAGGGTATAAATAAATAGGAAACGGTTCACCATTTTTAACAACTCGCTTTGTTATCTTATCAGGCAATGTATTGAAAAGGAAATGCTTTTCAGGTAGTGTACAATTCAACTGAAATGCACTGCAGTGGCATGTTAGAAGCTGGGAGCGGAATATAACGGGAAGCAACGTGCGTAGCTGTCGAATGCAGTTATGTTATTTTTGTTTCAGAAAAGCCCCAAACTGCGAGGACTGTGAGAAGGTGGGAGGATATAAACAGCGAGTGTGAAGGCATTTCTCCTTCCTTATGGCGCGTTTGTTTGCACTGCTGGTCTGGCAATACAGCTCTGGTGTTTGTGTACCAGGCTTCACCTTCTCCTTGCTGTGCCCAGAGCCACAGGTGTGAGCCATTCCCGTTTCTCCTCGTGCTTGGCAAAGGAGGGAAGATAAGCAGCACAGCAGCCACGTCGTCAGCCGGTCGATGTTTTGCTACGCCCGTTCGTTCTGCCAGGCCTGTCCCTGCGTGCACTGCTGCACTTCTTGTGACCTTTGAATTGCTTTACCAGCCCCTGGGGAAAGTAAAAATAGTAACTGTATCCAATCACAGGTACGTGCCGCTTGGAAAAGTGGGCAGCGGGTAACTGCGTGGTCTCCAAGTGCTCCAGCCGCATTTAATCTGTCTGCTCTCCCGATTATTTGTGGCCAACCTGTTAACGCCACAAGGATTTGCACCTCTAACCCCTTTAATCGCCTGCAAAGCGAGGGCGTGGCTTCAACTAACGACTGCTGGATAAAGCAGCCCGGCTGTTTATCGCTTGGAGTCCTTGAGACCTTCCCCAAACGGCTCCTAACTGTGACATCACCGCAAAAAAGCTGCGGTCCCTTCAGATCGCAGAACTGCCACCGCAGCCCCGGCCGAGAGCCAGAGCCGCTCCCCTGCTCTGAGCGGGCCGCTCCCGCCAGGCCGCCCCGAGCCGCGCACAGCCCGGCGCCGCCAGGCCGCCTGCCAACCGCTCTGCGCAGGCGCAGCCGCTCGCGCAGAGCCGTGCGGGGGCGGGGGAGGAGAGGACGGGCGGTGACGGCGGCGGAGGCCCCGCCCCGAGGGGGAGGGGGGACTTCCGGCCTCCGCTCAGAAGCCGGTCAGTCGGCCGAGCCGGGCCCGCCCACGCGGGAGGGGGCGGGGATTCCGGCAGCTCGGGCCGCTTGCATAACAGGAGGGGAGAGCTCTGCGCCTGCGTCATCGGCCGGCTCCCAGCAGCCCGCGCGGCGCGCTATATAACCGGCACCGGGGCGGTGGGGCGCTCTACATTCAGTGGCCCCCACCAACGGCGCCGGATCGCGTCGTACCCTTCGTCACCTTCTTTAGCGATCGGGACCGTCTCGCCCACCGCCACCATCGCCATGCCCGGGTATTCCAGCGACAGGGATAGAGGGTGAGTCCGGGGGCCCGGCTGGCGCCAGTCGCCGCCAGCGTCCGGACTCTCAGACCGACCGCGGGGCTCCGCGTGCTGCTTTGAAAGCTGTTCAAAATGGCGGCCGGGCCCGCGGGCTGGGCCTGGGAGCCCGTCTCCGCTCTCGCAGTCTGCGGAGCTTCGCGAAGGGCGGCGGGGGGATCTGAGCCGCGTGAGGGCGGCCGCGGTGCGTGGGTGGCCGCGGGTCGCGGCTCGGCTCTGCTCCTCGGCGCGGCCCCGGGGGGGGGGGGGGAAGGGGGGAAGGGGAGCGGCCCTGGGGGTTTGCGGAGGAGCTCCGAGGGAACGCGCGGCTGCGGGCGGTCCGCGGGGAGCTCCGCGACATCCCCGCCTCGAGGGGCGGCGGGCGGGACGAGGTTTGTGGGTCAGTGGGTTGGCCGGGCGATTGGCGATGGCGGAGCCTCGAGCGGCTCTCGGTAGGGCGGTTCCCTCTTCCTCCTTTCCTCCCCTCGCGGCTCACGGCGGCTCGGGCTGTTGCTGGCAGGAGCCGGCCGGCTCCCGCTTTGTGTTGTGTCAGCGGATGTTAATGGCCGGCCCCGCCATGCGGTGACTGAGGGGAAATCAAAATGCCGGCTGCTGCTGCCTTTGTTCCTCCTCCTTCCCCCTCCTTCTCCTCCCCCCCTCTCCCCCCGCCCAGCTCAGACTCTAAAATGGCAGCGGCTGGAAAATGTGGCGTAGACAGAAATGAGAGACAAAGGAAACAGCGCTGGCAGGAAGCAGCGGCCGCTCGGCTCGGTCCCCTCTGGGAGCGCTGTGTGGTGGTGAAGGATCGCTCCCTGCGCACCCGGTGCCGGGCAGCAGGCGGGGGGGGGGCGGGGAGAAGCCCCGCGTTCGGCTCCGGCTTAGCGGCACTCGGTGCGGGCGCTGAGCTGCGCCGAGCTGCGCTTTAGGGCTGCTGGGATGGGATGGGATAGGATAGGCTGCGCCGAGTCGCTTTTCAGAACAGAGGGGCATAAAGGTTAATAAAACATTAACAGAAAACGCGTGTCCTCACAAAGCACGGTTACTGAGAGAAGTTTCTTTTGGGATACGTGGTAAAAATATATACAGGGAAGTTGTCCCGAGGTTTTGTAACAGCTCCTGCCCGCTTTCTGTAGGCTGACAAAATGGGAGTGTCAGTTGGGTAGGAAACCATTTTGATCGTGGTGTTCGTGTTGTTACATTATCCGTGTTGTAACTTGTCAATAGGCCATTCTGTTTTATGGAAACTGCAAGGTAATGCGTTACTTCACCTGCTGAATGTGGAGATAGGTGGGTTTTGCATCTGTGACTTCAGTATGCTTTGAAAGTTTAGTATCTCATAGGTGGGGTTGATAACTCTGAATTGTGGAGTTGCAGGGCATACCACAAAGATAGCGGTTACGTAACAGGAAGAGAACAAATTTTCTCTTGGATCCTAAATTGTAATATATTCTTCTTTAGGTTTGGAGCCCCTCGTTTTGGAGGAAGTAGAGCTGGTCCGCTTTCGGGGAAAAAATTTGGAAACCCTGGGGAAAAACTTACCAAAAAGAAATGGAATTTAGATGAACTGCCCAAATTTGAAAAGAACTTCTATCAAGAACATCCTGATGTAGTTAGACGTACTGCGGTATGTACTCATCCAACTCATGCAAAAGTAAACAAGCACAAACATGCTTAGGGTCATGGGATCCAGCATGCACGGATGGAGTAATTCAAGTAACTTCTGTGCCAAAGCTGTTTCCAGTAATAAGATCTTTCTTTTGCAGCAAGAGGTTGAGCAGTACAGGTCAAGCAAAGAAGTTACAGTTAGGGGCCATAACTGTCCAAAACCAATAATAAACTTCTATGAAGCTAACTTTCCTGGTAAGTGGTGGGTAGCATATAGTTTGGTGGGTTTTTTTTGTTTTGATTAA